CTAATCCTCCCCAACCAACTCTAATGTAGACTGAGGTCTTGTATTCAACTTCCGTCTTCTACTGTGCCTTTGGGACTGAGGTAGAGCAAAGTTTCTGTCTGGTTTCCTGAATGGGATATGGTACTAGGGGAGATGAGGAAGTGATCTTAGGCAAGGAGGAAGGAAGAAGGACGGAAGGAAAGAGGGAGAGATGGAGAGGGAGCAGTAGGAGAGAGAGAGTGAGTGAATGAGTGAGTGAGTGAGTGAGGGAGTGAGTGAGTGAGAGAGAGAGGACAGAAGTGTGTGTGCATGTGAGAGAGAGAGAGAGAGAGAAACAGATAGACCGAAAGAGAGAGAGAGAGAGAGAGAGAGAGAGAGAGAGAGAGAGAGAGAGAGAGAGAGAGAGAGAGAGAGAGAGAGAGAGAGAGAGAGAGACCGAGAGAGAAACAGATAGACCGAGAGAGAAACAGATAGACCGAGAGAGAAACAGATAGACCGAGAGAGAAACAGATAGACCGAGAGAGAAACAGATAGACCGAGAGAGAGAGAGAGACGAAAAGGGTTAGGGGCGAGTGGGCGGGAGTGTGTCGAGTGTGGGGCATGGGCAGGCGGGGGTGGGGGAGAGGAGGATTGGAAGACGTGCGTGTGAGGGAGTATGAAAGTGGAGTAGGTTTGAAGGTCAGGGTGAAAGTGGGTTTGATAGCATGATGTAAAGGGACATGAGGTAGGGAGGGATATGCTGACAGGAGGGTTGGGAGAATGAGGGCGAGTGTGAGGATGAATTCGAGAGTAAGTGACGTCAGGGGAGAGACATGCGATAAGGTATACAATGAAAGGAATGTGAGATGATTTCCAGACTTTCAGAAGGGAAGTAAAACGCGTGGTGAAGTACGTAAAAAGGGAATTATTTTGTCTCTCTCTTTCTCTCGGTCTCTCTCTCTCCCTCTCTCGCTCTCTCTCTCTGTTTCTCTCTCTCTGTCTCCCTCTCTTTCTCTTCCCCCTTCTTTCACTCTCTCTCTATCTATCTATCTCTTTCTCTCTCTCTCTCCCTCTCTCTCGCTCTCTCTCTCTCTCTCTCTCTCTCTCTCTCTCTCTCTCTCTCTCTCTCTCTCTCTCTCTCTCACACACAATAATGAATTCGAATATGAATCAAGTGCTGACTCTGAATATGGGTCCAGATTGCCACGTACAAAAAAGTAGTTTTAAACAACTACTTACATATCATTAAATTCGACGAAGGAAGAAAAAAAAAAGTTATAATGATATTAAACGGTAAAAGAAGCTAGGAAACTATTCCGAAATCAACCTAGTTTTCATCTTCATCTTTAGATTCAATTCGGAGACCGAGGAAAGTCACGATTAAATTTCCAAGAGGAACAATGACACGATTTCATTTGGAAGATGTACTGAAACACTCCCAAGAAAAGTCATTTCGTGAGTGGTCCATTCCAGCCCCTCTCGCTTTACTCTTAATGAAATCTGGAATAAGTGAACGATTTGTGAGGAGAGTGACGCTTGCATGTTGCACCTGTCTTCCTGCTTTGACCTCACTCAACCTCTTGGCTTCCTCCTCTGAACTATTGTCTTCTTCTGACCTTATGTCTTCCTTATCTGACCTCATGTCTTTCTTATCTGACCTCATGTCTTTCTTATCTGACCTCATGTCTTCCTTATCTGACCTCATGTCTTCCTTATCTGTCTTCATGTCTTTCTTATCTGACCTCGTCTTCCTCATCTGAATTCATGTCTTCCTTATCTGACCTTATGTCTTCCTTATTTCACCTCGTCTACCTCATCTGAGTCTTTCTTATCTGAACTCATCTCTTCCTCCTCTGACCTCATGTCTTCCTCATCTGATCTCATGTCTTCCTCATCTGAATTCATGTCTTCCTTATCTGACCTCATGTCTTCCTTATCTGACCTCATGTCTTCCTTATCTGACCTCATATATGTCATCCTCACCTGACCTCATGTCCTCCATATCTGGCCTCATGTCTTCCTTCTTTGACCTCATGTCCTCCATATCTGACCTCATGTCCTCCATATCTGACCTCATGTCTTCCTTCTCTGACCTCATGTCCTCCATATCTGACCTCATGTCCTCCATATCTGACCTCATGTCTTCCTTCTCTGACCTCAAGTGATATGTCATCCTCACCTGACCTCATGTTTTCCTTCTCTGACCTCATGTCCTCCATATCTGACCTCATGTCTTCCTTCTCTGACTTCAAGTGATATGTCATCCTCACCTGACCTCATGTCCTCCATATCTGACCTCATGTCTTCCTTCTCTGACCTCAAGTGATTTGTCATCCTCACCTGACCTCATGTCCTCCATATCTGACCTCATGTCTTCCTTCTCTGACCTCATGTCCTCCATATCTGACCTCATGTCCTCCATATCTGACCTCATGTCTTCCTTCTCTGACCTCATGTCCTCCATATCTGACCTCATGTCCTCCATATCTGACCTCATGTTTTCCTTCTCTGACCTCATGTCCTCCATATCTGACCTCATGTCTTCCTTCTCTGACCTCAAGTGATATGTCATCCTCACCTGACCTCATGTCCTCCATATCTGACCTCATGTCTTCCTTCTCTGACCTCAAGTGATATGTCATCCTCACCTGACCTCATGTCCTCCATATCTGACCTCATGTCTTCCTTCTCTGACCTCATGTCCTCCATATCTGACCTCATGTCTTCCTTCTCTGACCTCAAGTGATATGTCATCCTCACCTGACCTCATGTCCTCCATATCTGACCTCATGTCTTCCTTCTCTGACCTCATGTCCTCCATATCTGACCTCATGTCTTCCTCCTCTGACCTCAAGTGATATGCCTTCCTCTTCTGAATTCAACCGACTCTTTATCTTCCTCCCTTGTCCTGTCTCCCTTTTCATACATCAGATGTTCTACTGTTTTCTTTCAGTTACTTCAGAGGTCCTTGTGTCTTCCTTCATCTGACCTCCACTTTCCCGTCTTCCTTTTCTGAGATCAGCTGACTTCCTGTCTTCCTTTTCTGAGATCAGCTGACTTCCTGTCTTCCTTTTCTGAGATCAGCTTACCTCCTGTTTCCCTTTTCAGAGATCAGCTGACTTCCTGTCTCCCTTTTCTGATATCAGCTGACCTCCTGTCTTCCTTTTCAGGTATCAACTGACCTCCTGTTTCCCTTTTCTGAGATCAGCTGACTTCCTGTCTTCCGTTTCTGAGATCAGCTGACCTCCCGTCTTCCTCCTCTGACCTCAGCTCGACTTCTTGGTCTCTGTTCATCCATATTGCACAAGACAGCGTTTCCACGTTACGCTGACTAGCCCTGGCAGTGGGATCAATAAATCACGGGATAATTTTCTCCTTTGAGTAGTGGTTTTGGGCGTAGGTGAGACTTGGATCTTGGTTTTCCATCTGGTGAAGCATCTCTAAGGTGATTTTCGTTATTTGTTATTTGTTTTGCTGTTTGTCTGTGCATTTGGGAAAGCTTCTATATAGAGGGATCATGGCGGGAGGTATTATTCTTCGAGGTATGGTGAGGAACGTCTAGAAATTTCGTTTATGGTGAGGAACGTCTAGAAATTTCGTTTATGGTGAGGAACGTCTAGAAATTTCGTTTATGGTGAGGAACGTCTAGAAATTTCGTTTATGGTGAGGAACATCTAGAAATTTCGTTTATAGTGAGGAACATCTAGAAATTTCGTTTATGGTGAGGAACGTCTAGAAATTTCGTTTATGGTGAGGAACGTCTAGAAATTTCGTTTATGGTGAGGAACATCTAGAAATTTCGTTTATGGTGAGGAACGTCTAGAAATTTCGTTTATGGTGAGGAACGTCTAGAAATTTCGTTTATGGTGAGGAACGTCTAGAAATTTCGTTTATGGTGAGGAACATCTAGAAATTTCGTTTATGGTGAGGAACGTCTAGAAATTTCGTTTATGGTGAGGAACGTCTAGAAATTTCGTTTATGGTGAGGAACATCTAGAAATTTCGTTTATTTTACGAGTGAACGTCGCAAAAGCTCGCTGTTGCGTTGACAGCGTGATGCGCTCATTATCACAACAGAAGGAAATTAATCAAGGGATATTGATTACACGAATGATGAAGATGATATGATAGTATCGAACAAAAAAAGACAAACAAATTAAGAGACCCTCATCACCCCTCCCCCACCAAACTCCCCTGATCAAAAAAAAAAAAGAAGAAAAAAAGAAAAAAAAGAAAAGAAACCAAAGTAAATCAACACAAAAAAGAAAGAAAGACAAAAGGAGTCACGCAGATCACATGCACAGATAACACTAATCACACTAAGCCATTATCAATTGGCACTTGGCTAAACACCCGCGAACACCCGTGGCCGAAGATGGTGTTATTTACATTGTTTCAAGTTACCCGACCCTCGTTCGCGCATGCGTCTAGCCCAGCCAGCTCCGGATTCGAACACTCGCTTACAAAAACGCAAACGAAGGGTAGTTTTTCCTCAGCCTCGCACCGCACGTTATTGCCCCGAGTTTATTAACATCCTTGATATCAAACCGGAGAGAGATTCTTTACGTTCTCAGAAACGAATGGGAAGGGGAGGGGGAGGGGAGAGGGGAGAGGGGCGTGTGGATATGAGACTATCGATAAGGAGAGGGGTGGGTGTAAGGCTTATGATAGGACGTGGGGGGGGGGGGAGATAGGGTGGATATGAGGATATCGACAGGGGGGGGGAGGATAAGCTTGGTCTCTGATTGGAAAACGACCGTTGAACACCTATTTGCGCTGTTAACACTTTTTCACTTGAATGAACAACGAACAACATATTTTTCTTTTCTTTTAACAAAAGCATAATAACAAATTGTAAATTACTAAGTAATAGGAGAGACAGAGAGAGAGAGAAAGAGAGAGAGAGAGAGAGAGAGAGAGAGAGAGAGAGAGAGAGAGAGAGAGAGAGAGAGAGAGAGAGAGAGAGAGAGAGGATAGGAAAGGAGAGAGAACAGAGAGAGAGGGGAGAGGAAATGAGAGAGGAAAGGAGAGAGGGGAGAGGA